GTTTACTTTAGTACATCCGGGAAACTTTGCCCTCTTTAAAAAAAAAGAGAAACAAGAAAATTACGAAATGCATCATAGTTGTACAACTTCCTAAATATATTAGTGGTTTTTGCACTGTTTTGAAGTTGCACGGACTTGGAAGGTCTTGGAAACACATTTTTGTACTCATTACGTCATTATATTTTTTTCGATTTTAATCACTTTGTTGTCCGTTTTTGAATCTTGATAAACTTGCCAAACCTTTAGGTTTTTTTTTTTGCAAATTTTTTGATATGTGATTTACGTGTTGACGCGACAGTTTTGACGTTACACGTCCAGGGGTCCATTTTCTTAATTGCCAGTCCCGTTTAGAGGGACGAGCTAATTATTCCAATCAGGGCACGTTTAATTTCTTCGGACCTGTTTCAAGGCTTTCCACCCGAAGGACGGTATGGTTGAAAGTAGCGGTTTTTTTTTCCTCTCCAGAGCGGCAAAGTAAACATTTTTATCTACCCGATGTAATTGATGTTAGAAAAATGTAAAGGTGTTTTTCTAGATTCAGGTTCTGCGTTTTATAATTTATTCCTGTTGTTAATCACCAACCTTGCTTTATTTTTGTACATCAGGATCGCATGGCAGTATCAAAAATTTCCGTTTTTAAAATAAATAAGTTTTTCTCTGACACCATACAGTATAAAAATAGCCGTAGTGTTTGCATTTATTATTCCTGGGTCTTTTTTTTCGAATTGCAATGCGCGAAGATTGTGAGACGTGATTTCAACTGGGGCATGTTGCGTACGGACGCAGGTCGTCACGTTTCTACCTTTGCTGTCCGACCACGTAGCACCGATGTAGTAACAAGAAATTAATTGACCGTCGGAAGTTGCATATTTGTCCGAGCCACGACGTAAAATATGAAATTTCAAATGTTTATTTAAATAACACTGACGTCTGTAATTTGTTTTGACCCGTGGGAAACTCGGTTTATAATAAAAGGATATAATTAATTCTTGTTTTTCAAAAACATATTGATTGTACGGTCTGGGGCTGTTAATTCCATTCCTAAAATTGGTGAAAATCTCCCGGTTGGATTAATTGTCCAGGCAAAAATTGTTTTCGCCTTGTGTCTATTTTAGACAAATGTAAAAACATAATTAAAGTTAAATGGAAGGACGTCTATCATCAAAATAAAATTTACGGATTATTAATTAACTGGAAACATGCACGTAGGTTTAGAGTTATTTGATTAAAAGCGAAAAAGTAGGCGTACTATATAATTTTCCTATGCCCTACGTCATTCACAAATGACTAAGTAAAACTCGTCCTCACCACTATTGTCCTTATAATGACGTTAGGACTGTGGGAATTTGGAAATAAAACGCCCAAAAGGCCCAATTTTAAAAGACACTAATAGATTAAGCCAACTCATTCCTAATTCGGGCTGACATTCCCAATTCGACTATCAACATTAATTCGTACATAAATTCTCGGAAGAAATTGTAACGAATCATTAGATAACAGCAATAACGTTAACAACTACAAAAACGTCATGTTTCGAACAGACTGAGTAAATATGTGGTCAGAGCATTATGCTGCAAACATCCATAATATTTTCACTTATGCCCCCTTGAAATATAAAAAAAAATTTTAGAAATTTTTTATTAAAGAAAAACATTTGGTACATAAAGATTGTACCAATTAATGCAAGTAAAAAACGTTCATGTACAAAATACGTTTATGTACCAACAGGAATAAATAAATTTTGAAGGTAATAAAATAACTATGCGATTTAAGCGTACCATAAGATAAAAGACAACAAAGAAAACCAAAAATCTACAAGACCCATTAGACAAAAACGGTATATACACCAGGTAACCAGAAGTTCGTATCAGTTTAAAAGGGTTTACTAATTGTCACAATAAAAATTAGTTAAAAAAATATTTTATTCGGGGAAATAGCCTCCATCGGCATCTATGGACCTTCTCCCAAAGAGTTACTAGCTCAGTTAGGCCCTTTTTTATAAAGATTTAAGACCCGGGTATGGTATGGTAATGGTGATGGTTTATTGTACCTTCCTAGTTCCTTAGTTCAGTGCAATAGAGTCGATCCTTCTTCGTAGAAGTGTCAGGTCATTGAATGTCACTGTTACGATTTCATTCCCTAAGAGTTTTTTGTATGTTAGGTTGAATCTCCCTTGAGCTGTTGCTTCGCATTCGAAGCTCATATGGGTGGCTGTTTCTTCCTCCTCATTACATAATCTGCAGATGGGATCTTAGTTGTATATGCCCATATTTTTTCGGATGTCAGTGACAGGCCCTAACACTATCACTCCTCTGAGGTTAGCTCTCTCCAGTTGCAGCAGTGATTTTGCCAGTCTTGGTGAAGGTTGTTTCATAGTTTGCTACGCCTAGCACCGCTAGAGTTTATCCATTTGTTTGTTTGGATCCATTCTGCGATAGAGGATTCCATATTTGTTTTTGTTATCCCAGGTATAGGTTCGAGGCCTTGTGGATCCTCCTCTGGCCAGTCTTTCTGCTTTCTCGTTACCCGGGATCCGGGACTTAGAAAATAAACTCAGCTTATCCGGCTATTGACGATTATCGAATTCTCGATTGTTCATTGCTATGAAAAGGTGCCAGGTCCGGAGTCTACCGAGGGTGTGGTTAGTCTTCTCAACCAAACATCATTATCACCTCCTTTTGTCTGGCTGTGTGAAGTCTTTCGTTGTCCTGGTTAAAAATTAACCTGAGCAGGTTTCTGGGCCATACTCTCTGCAACCTCTGGCAAGTTCTTGATATTCTTGACTCGAATCAAGTTCGAAATTGATCGTCATTCAGGATAGAAAGCCTACCAGACGATGGGTCATCATGCCAGAAGCAAACTTTTTGAACCAATTTTGGGCAGTGCGCTTTTAAACTTGACTATTAATAGCAAACTTTTTCTGATTCTATAACATGGGAATGCGGAGAAAAGAGTAGATCGGGCAAACAAAAAGAAAAATGCAAGACAGAAAGAACGTAAGGTCCTTTACGACGGGGAAACAATCAAATCTTAAAACCTGACGAAGAAATATACTAACAAAGCGTCAGTTGAAAAGTAAAAGTACGATCACAAGCAGATCGACTAGAACAAACCAAAATAAAAAGACTGAATCCATTAGAGGCGCGGACAAAGACAACACCGACACATCTTACGACGAACATATAAAAGGATCCGGCTAAGCAGAAAACCTAATTCACCACTGGTGATGGCGAAAGGTCGACTTCCGACAGGCCGAAACGACAAGGGGTCAGACCAAAATGACCATAAACAATCGAACTCCATCACTCCTCCAGAGACTTTAAGATAAAATCACCCAAAAATGGTTTAAATGACCTAAACAACTAGGCTTAATCATATAAAAAAATGTAAACAATATTATTATTGTATAGTAAGATTAAAATAGGAAAAAGTCCAATGTAGATAGATTTTAAGATTTGTATTCAGGCTAAATCTATAATCCAGGATAGGTGATTAACGAACGATTATCTGGAAATTCTTATATCAAGATCGCGGATCAAAAGCTTTAAAAAATTGATAAATTGCAATTTCTGACTCCAATAAACATAAGCAATATATGACAAAAGTAAAACACATAGGTTTGATCTCATATCTTCGGCTGTTATCCAAAGTGGCAAATTATCCTTCATGTGCGTAGTATATCGAAAGTTATCCTGACAATCAATGATGATTACCAAATATTGGCCAAGGGATAAAAAGGATAGTTTCGAAAGAAAGATATACTATGTGAGAGGCGTGTTGCCTAACAACGAAGATGATTAATCATAGATAGACCCTACGTACTGGTTGATTTGACCATCTAACTTTCAGGTAATTTTAACCCGTTTAACCGAGATACTTCGACAGTTTTGGACCTCGCGGAATAGTTCCACCTTAGACACAGAATTAACTAAAAAAAATTAGTAAGGTCATTGAAAATTATCAGATTTTACAATATTTTGATTATAATTCGCTATCATTTTTTTAAGATCGTTTAGAAATGCGTGTAAAAGAACCGTTGGATTTCAAAAGATAAGAAGGGATATGGGCACGAGTGAATGCATCATTGCCGGTAGTTGCCTAACTTTCATTACTACTGTATAAAATTATTATTTTTTTCACTTTTTAAATGAAATTTAATTTTATTACTATCATAAAATGTATACATTTTATATCTTACGATCTAAATCGATCATTATTATTATAACAATTTAAATAAAAATTATAACAATAAATTTATAATCTAAAACAGTCAATTTGCATAAATTTGCAAAATTGAGCAAAGAAGTATAAAAAATACCAATATTTATCATATACTTATGATAATAAATATGCTCTAAAATAAATCGCTAATAAAGAACAATTAATTATGATCTGGTTGTGAATACATTAAAATTTATCCTTGTTAAGTGTTTACCCATAAATTCGCTCGACAGCAGTTTTGTTTTGTTTTCGTAAGACACCTTTTCTGCGTGCATTGAAATTACTGGAATCGACCACGATAAAAACGACTTTATCGTGTTCAAATGATGTTTTATTTCTTAATTATATAAATTAAAATTTTTTAAACTATTTGTTATTAGTTAAAAATTTAATTTTTCAAAATTTTTGAGAACAAATGTTTAACTTGTCAGTTGATTCAAGAGAGTGGATATTGTTTTGAAAGAGATCAGAAAAACTAAAATAAATAAAAGTAAACAAAAAAGAAATAAAAAACCCAAGCAGATAATTTGTTTACGAATCGTTCGAGAATTCTTGCACCATCGAAAAAGAATGAAAAGGTCTCAGGAGAAATGGTGTTGAGGACCAAGGTTGTGCTCCCGAAAAAGAATTTTTTTTGTAAAAAAAAGTAAAATTATTGAAGGATTCCTATTTCTCTGAACCAAAATCTTAAAAGAGAAAGAACTGAGAAAGAGAAATGAGAAAATTTTAAAATGTGGGTATGCAAGTGAATTTTATAGGAAAATAATTTTTTTACTTACATTTCGTTTTCGCTCTATCTTGACTAAATCTTCCTTTCAGATATTTTTCAAAAACGGCCTGGGTCGGGCTGAGGGACTCTGAATTCGCCTCAGTCGTCGGCTCGTAAACCCGGTCACTCTGACCCACAGCACTGTAACGTCCGCGACCACTGAACAATCCGTTCACCATGTCAATGCCAGTAGATAAACAAATAAAATCCGAATTTTGTTCGGCAAACTTTTCAAAATGGCCACTTTTATAAATCAACCCTCTGTTCAGCCACTTCGCAAGAAGCCAGGGAATGATCCTTGACAACCACCACAGGTCTCCTTTATAGCTTTCTCCCCTCCCGAAGAACTTTCGCACTCGGGTCCACTCAAAAGAAATCCCACTGAACAAGTTGGTAGAATTCTGCTTTACATTTTTTTAGGTTTTTTGTTTTTCTTTAAAACTCGGACCATAACGCGTCCCTAATCGTCCCCCTGGGATATTCCACGCAGTCTACGGAAATGGGTCTTTCTCGACGTAAGCGGATGTGTGAGTAAGTATTCAAATTTCCTAGAACTAGTCTAGATGAATTAAGATTTTAAAAACTTATTCTAAACATGATAGTTCAGGATCATTGGATCAAACCGAACAGTTCATTAATTTTCATCAGTAGATTTCCGCAAATAATAAAGTATAAACCAGAATATACCGCCTATAATTGACTTTGTTGAATTTTGATCTCTGAAATATAAATCGTATATTTCATAATGTCATCACTAAGGTTTCATTTGTTTTACAGTTGCCTGTTTTGTAAATTATGGAATAATATTAACCTTCATATTTTTTAAAGGATTCTTTCTCACTTATGCTTATAATTATATATCTATATAATATATCTATCATTTCACATATTTTTTCTATTTAGGTTAGCTGGAACATGTACCAATTAAAGATAAGGTAGAACAAGAAGATGGTCAACAGGAAGATTATAGATTCCTTCCTGATTTTCCAAGGATTTTTCTCCACCGTACTGATCATTCTATCTCTCTACTGTTTCAAAAATTGAATTTAGTTTAACTAGAACGTGTTCCATTTTGCGATTAGGTGGAACAGGAAGATGGCCAACAGGAAGATTATTGATTCCTTATGTTTTTAAAAAGATTTTTTCTTATCTGTACTAATGATTATTTCTTACTACTGTTTCTCATAGTTTTTTTAGTTCAACTAGAACATGTTCCATTGTGAGATTAGGTAGAAGAAGAAGATGGTGAACAGGAAGATTATAGATTGGATTCCTGATTCATAAAGATTCTTACTCATCTGTACTGATGATTTTATCATTCTACTGTTCCTCACATTTTTCTTTGTTTAGCTAGATCATGTTCAATTTTGAGACTACGTAGAACACGAAGTTGGTCAACAGAAAGATTATTGATTCCTTCCTGATTCATAAAGATTCTTTCTCATCTGTACTGATGATTATATCATTCTACTGTTCCTCACATTTTTCTTAGTTTAGCTAGAACATGTTTCATTTTGAGATTACGTAGAACACGAAGTTGGTCAACAGAAAGATTATTGAGTCCTTCCTTATTCATAAAGGATTCTTTCTTATCTGTACTGATGATTATACTGGATGAGTACAAATACTATTACTAATACCTAAAATTTCTATATTGCGTACACCACTGTATAAATTCATTTTCACATCTTACGTGTATTTCTATAATCCAAACAATGTTTGTAAATTTTAGGCCCTGGAGATGATCTAAATAAAGATCGAATCGTGTCACAATAAAGAAAATGTTTTTCTAAACCTACATCACACAAGACCTCTTCTCATGATCTCTAAATAATTTTATAAAATGTACAAATGATTTGTTTACAATAAACCTCTTTTTGTGACAACCGCACAGTAAAGCCCAGTAGAGGAACTCGACTGAACCATCCTAACAGCGAATTTTCTAAATTATTTTTTTTATATGACCGATTGAAATTGGATTTAGTTTATTCCAGAGGAAGTAATAACCTTATCAATTATAAGGTTATGTAAAATCAAAATACGTCACAACTGTTGCATCTCTTCAGAAACTATTCGACTAATTAATTAGTTTAATTGATCTCGGGATTTGTTATGTGCTCATGCTCTTTATCACTTTACATCTACAATCTATTATTAACAAGATTAAACGATGTTTTTTTAAGTCTTTTTCTCATAATTCGAATTCTTTCTATTTGAAATATTAGGAAAAAATTATTTTAAGTTGTTAGAAATTTGTGGATGAAGGTATATGCAAATTGATCAAAATTGAACGCAAAAATTTAATAAAATTGTGACCGTTGTCACCATTTCCTCTGCTCCCAAAACAAGAAGTATTGGTTGTGTACTTGAATTTGGCCCAGGTTTCGGTTGGGTGTAGCATGGGTTGTATATATGCATATGGGGTTCAGCAGGTTGTAAAAAAATCATTTGACCATTTTATAAAATAATATTAAAAAGGAAAACTTAATATGCCATCATTGTTGAAACCGTCAGTCAGAGTTCTGTCAGCAACCAAAGTAATCAAATAAAAAGCCTTCATTTTTTCCACTTTCAGACAATAAATTCATTAATGAGATGCTTTCCGTACCTCCAGGCAGTCCTATAATTTAGACATGTATAACCAGTCCTCGCCGCCATCTTTCCATCCGGATCGCTTCATCCTTAGAAAGCAGGGGGTTTCCCCACGGTTTGCCAACGAGAATGGGCCAATGCATAAAAATAAAAGATATCATTTTCCCCTTAGTTGCAGATTGCGCACAGGGACCTCCTCCCTCGATCTTCATCATACGGCTTAGCATTTGGCAGCGTTTCTGCCTTCAGATTAAATAGTCATCTTGGTGTATAGATACACCCCAGCAAACTTTCAAGCTCGCACACTTTGTGGCCATGGTTGTCCTTTTATAGACGGTAAATCTTTGAGATCCGCCCTGTGACATCACGCTTTGTATTTATCTTCTGGGTGTCTCTCCAAGATAGCCTTGGCGCCTTCTCTCAGTTTTAACTCTGTGAGAGTATTTAAACCGATTTAACCAACCACTTCGCCCAATTCGCCCATGTACTCGTACAGAAATTTTATACCATGACTCGATAGCCCTTATTCTTGGGAAGTGTGGCATTGCAGCTATCCTCATTATATAATTCATATACAGGCCTAAAGTATACTAAAGAGGGCGTCCAACTCCGACCCCAGATGGATGACATATCTGAGCACATATCTGGACCTTGTACTCCGAGGACTAGGCACCTTGTAATCCTCGGATCTCCAAACCTGCGCGCCATAGCATCGTATTTCCCGTGACTGACTGGTAGATGGCCATTTCTGATTTGGTATGCCTCATCTCCAAACGCTCCATACTAAGCGCAAACTTTGCAGTACGGCCTTTCTCTTCTCAAACTTTTTGAAGGATAGCCGTAGGTCAGCGTCACACCCACATCATTATTTCATTTTTTTTTTTTTTTTTTTACTTTTCCACTTCTTGCAGTATTGCTCGAGCAGGTCGGAATTTGTAAATGCCCAGGACTTTCGGACAGAATCTCTAGTTCATCCCCGGTACATTAGCAATTAATTAGTGTCTTCAATCTTGACTCCACATTGGAACACTTCCTCGTTGATGTATAGGGAGAACAGAAACGTACTCAGTGGGTAGCTTTGCTTTACTCTGCAGCTCGCTGACTTCGGAGTAAGACCCTTTTCAGCCCAGACCGACTCTGTCACCTCGGTTTACAGTCATTTCAAGACGTGAATAAATCTGCACGATACACGATCAACGTAAATTTACCAAAAAGTAAGTTATGATCGAATGATATTTCAGGTCAACAAAAAAATCATAGCATATTTTCTTGTCGAGTGATGGTCTCAAACCAAAACCTAGAGAGTGAATACAACAGGCAATGTTCAATAAGTCGTAAACAATTTTTTTTTTCAAAACAACAATTAAATTGCGTATTAATTTTAACAGTAAACTTGGATTGTAACGGCTATAGTTAATTAAATTTTAGATTAAAGATTTACAACCAGTGTGTTTTGACGAAATTTCTATTTATTCATCATTTTCTACGCGTCAGAAATTGGATTAGTTATGCTGTTATTTGCCAGTTTTTGAAGGAAAATGTGGATTTTTGCTATTTTTTTTTGGTTTTTATTACCTCAAAGGGAAAACCGCAGCTCAGACAAGTGGGAAAATTTGTGATTTGTAAGGTGATGACGCTAAAGGAGAAACAGCGTCCGTAAGTGGTTTGCTCGTTCAAAACCTCTCGTCGTCCTTCAGCCGTTGATGATTATCAAATTCAAACTTTTGTCACAAATAACCCATTCAACAACACGAGACATTTAGCTTATTTCATACAAGCATTTCAACACTTACAAGATCAGGAAGATATGTTTGTCGGAACCATAAATCGTTTCCTTACATGTTAACAGAGAAGAATTTATTGGGCCGCATTTCCATCGGCAATTCCTTCATAAAACGCAATGTAAACGACCAATTTTTTTAAAAGATTGATTATTGAGGATGAAAATCGGGTCATTTACAACAATGCCCACAGGAAATTCCTTGGATGAACGCAGCGCCCCACCACTAACAACACCAAAAGCAAAAATAGTTAAATTTTACATAGTTCTATACAGTATTAAGTGAAATAGAGTAAAATAATTTAATAATAAGTGTATGTATACAATTTTAAGAAAGAACTTTTTTAATTTGTAATATATATAAAGTCATTGCCCAATTTTAACCCTCAATTTTCTTTTCTTCTCCTTCCGGGTCACTGGCTGGCCTCCCTTTCTTCCATTGCAACCTAAATTATCTATTGCGGAATTTTTTATTTCCACACCTCGAAAAGTGAACTACCCTTAAAATAGTTAAATACTCTCTTCAGGCATTAGTATCGAAAAACTGTTTGAAAACATGTTCTTATGTTTCTGCCTGTTCATGGCCGAAGATAACCCTCAATCACTCTTCTCTTAAAAAAATTAACATCGTTATCACCCCATCCATTTGGAAGAAAGTACACATAGTACTAATATTGAGTGGTAAAATAAGTCCTTAGTCTTTTTCAATAATTTTTTACCCCCTTCTTGCATTTGAAGCAATGTTTATTTAGCCATTTATTGTTTACACACTCTCAAAAAGGGGTTAGTCAAGATGATTCGAATTTTCATTCATTTCTGAAACTTCAAAACTAAATTAATGAGAAAAAACTTTACTTCACTTGGGCACTGCAATTCTGCAAGTACTCACCTGAAAAGACCTGGACAAAATTCATGGAAGATGGCCAC